AGGGAGACATTAATATCGGTACCACATTTCAAGGCAATCCATCCACTACTTGTTGAGACATTTCACTCAAAACTGCAAATGTGAACGTGGAGGTGCTAGAAGACTTAATGGCAATCCAACAGACCAACTTTGGTGTACAGTGACTGTCAGCCGTTGCTAGAGCCATGGTACCAGCGTGGTTAAAAATGCTATTTCAGCCAGGCCCTGATTTCAGCAGCTTTAACTTTATGATTTAATACATGCTTCCTCAAAAGGTTTTTCTTGAGGTTAACAACTTGGTTTGAGGTTTCCCACCTGGTTCTTGCAAAGTCAGTTGATGGAAACCTTCCCAGCTGTTTTCCAGCGGTGCTGTCCATGGTGCTGAAAACAGATGACAAGATAAAGAAAGCAGAATTTCTGCTCTACTCTGTGCAGTCAGTGCTACAATTGGAGGCGATGTTCGCACGCCTGACATCAGCAATTAGTGATCTGGGAGTGTTCTCGTATTCCCAGCTTTCCATCTTCCTTCCCGCTCTTCTTCTTCTACCATCTGTTTCCTTCTCACTCCCCCTCCCCTGCCACACATTCTTATTTACATCCCATCACCTCATACTCTCTCCATCTCTCATTCCCACTTTTATAAATAATCACTAACAGTCTCACTTATTTGTACCTTTTGTTTTTTTGTTTGTTTCACTCTTTCTGATTTCCGGTCCTCTGCTTTATGTCTGTGGAGATCTTTTCTCCTTCCTTTCCTCCATTATTCTTTCAAATCCTTGCCTTCATCTCACCCATAATTTCTTTACGTCCTTCTACTCTTCCTTTACCAGCTCCTTGAAACCTGCCCTAATCTCTTCTCTATGTCTGTACAGCAAAACACAACAAATTGTGTGTGCAAGAGTGTGTGTCCAGTCTGTGTTGTGTGTGTGCGGAGCAGGGTGACTGTCCTCAGGGCAGCTCTCCACACCAGAACAGAACCGAGCAGCAGCTGACCAGCTGTCCCCCTCGCAGCTAGCAGCATGTTGTATCTTCTATCTAGTCTCTCTATCTCTGTCTCCGTTCATCCTTCCTGCGTCACCCTCTCTTTTTCTTTCCCCCACTCTTTCTCTCAGTCTTTTATTCACTTGCTTCTTTGCGCTCCAACTCTCTCACACATTGTACTCGCTCTTACCAGGCCTCTCTTTTGATCTGCTTCCTCTTTTCCTCGTTGTACAGTGGACAGCGTCACACCCACCGCTCATTGTCATCATCAGCTCCCTTTCATCTCCCTGTCTCCTTTCTTTGCCTTCGCCGGTTCTCCCCTCTCGTCGCCTCCCTTGCTCGCTGGTTCTCCCATTCCATGCCTCAGTAATGTCAATGTTAAGGTATGTCTCCTTTAACCTCATCTAAGTTTCATCTCCTCCCTCCCGTCTCTCTCCACTCCCCATTACCTTGTTCTTTGTCTTTGTTCAATAACTTCTCTCTGTCAAACCCTCTTATTCTCTTGAGGCCCTTTTCCCTCCACCATATCAGCTGTCTTTTGTAACCACACAATAACTCTTGTCTTACTGTTTCACCGATTCTCTGTACCCGTCGCATGACCTCGATACTGTTCTTCCCTGTTTTACTTTTTCCCCCTCTCTCTCTAGCTTTCCTATCTTTCTGTCAAATATGCCAGTCCTATACTTTAAATCTTGCCACTTTAACTCCATAGTTCATGTGTTACATTATGTAAAATAAACAGTATATCTGCGTTGAAGATGAGTAGAGGGGCACATAAGAAAATCATTCTATTCTCAGGGAGGAAACATGAGGATGCTGCTGTCTTCATTAGGGAAAGGGCTCAGAACTTTTGTATTTTCATCCTAATCAGCTGAACTCATAATTCTCACTGCACTTTCACTGCAGCTACCGTCTATTGCAAGCCACAGTGAATCTATGCACATAGAATTTTTTTTATAAATATGCAGAGTGATATCAAAGTTGTATGTTTCTGCATTATTCCCTTGCAGTGAAATGTATGAGCTTGTTTTCATTCTAGATGAGAATTGCCTTTTTCTTGCTTGTGTTGTCAGCCTTCAGACTTGTTTTTCAGTAAAGTAAAGTACTGGACAAATGAAAGTTTTGACCTCATAATGCTTTTAGATGAAAAGTCAGTGGATCACGAAAGTTATTACAATTCATTCAGAGAATGTGTGTGCCAAATATTCATTAATCCATTAATCCATTTAGTGGTTGGGGAGAAATTTTGAAGTCAGATATATTCAACCTCATGGTGGAGCTAAAGTAAAAGTAAGAGGATGGCCAAAGTCAGCTCTTTCCTCTGGGGGTCAATAAATATATTAAATTAAATATATTAGAGTATACCAAACTGTATGGCAATATACCCAACAAACGCCAAGCTATTTCAGTCTGGACAAAAGTGATGGACCGACCAGAAGATCAGGATTTGTCACCCCTAGAGCCAGGCCATAGCATGGCTAACAACTGCTTTCTATTTGTAGATACAATTTAAGTGGCTTTTACTATAGACATTCAATTTTAAATGCTTTTTCAGTTAAAAAGCAATTATGTTGTCATTATTATCATCATAAGCGTCTACTGCCCTCTCTCCCTTTGTCTCTGTCTCTGTCTTTCTCTCTATTTAAGTGGCCTGGAGGATTAAATGTGTTTAATTAAGAGGTGATTGTGAGTAGACGGCTGACACAGCAGGATCAGGATGGCTTCATCCCATTGCCCCTACTGTCATCACCCTGTATCCCCATTCAGCCCCTGCTCCATACATACAGACACACAGACACACTCTCCTCCATATGCCCACCCTGTCTATCCCTCCTTTAACACCTTTCACATCCTTCCTTCTGTTATTTCCTTTATTAATATCTTTTTAACAACAGCATTCATTCTCCCTCTTTCTACCCTGAGTATACCACTCAGGGTTGCTTGCAAATAATTATTCTTCCCTCATGAGTAACTTAAGTGCTGGCATTTTAAAACTACATGTGGGTCCTTGCTAAAAGGCTGATTAGATGTTGAAAAATGCAGAAAAATACCAAGACAAAGTAATGTTAGAAAGCAGAGGATGTAAAAGGGGGGATTTAATAGCAGGGGAATAAAGAAATGGACGCTATGGAAAGCAAGACATGAGAAAGCAGAGTGCTAATAAGCACAGTGTGGGGTGAAAAAGAGGCCACAAAAGTGTTTATTACAATGGTGGAAAGATGAAAGAAAAGGGAGAAGCCTCATAATTTTCCTTTTGTCTGTATGTGTGGATATATACTGCATTTTTAAGTGCGTGCATTTGTGGCAGTGTCAAATGAGAAAACTATAATAATTTATACATGAACCAGATCATATGAAACATCTGGTGTCTTTGTTTGTATCTTTTTGATTCTCTGTATTCTTGCATGTTTGATAAAGCAGCTCTCTTTAGTGAATCATGTTTAGTGATGTCATATGGCTTTTCTGCATGCTTTGGTGAGTAACTACACATCAGCTTAAGTGGTTTACAATAAAGTAATTTACAACACAATATGACAAGTCATTCTGGATACTAGTAAACAGCTGGACCAAATGATAGCTCACATTTTTTCTGCTGCGCCTGAAAGCGAGGACAAAATTGTGAGGCAACAGGGACCTTTGTCCTTTAAAGCATGCCATCACTCTTGTCACAAATAAGCCCTCAGGAAACATGCCCACTAATTTGAGTCTCAATCCACTGAAGACGCATAGGGTTATATTGAGCATGAATATGTGTGTTTGTGTGTGTGTGGTCAAAACGTCTAGAGAAAGAGGGAGACAGATGGGTCACACAGTGTTCCCTCTATGGGTTTGGAAGCTGGCACACGGCTAATTACATCTTAATTAAACATGACCTATCTGTCCCTGCGCCTCCTTGCCCATGGATGACACATGTGTGCTTGTGTGTGTCTGAGAGACAGCGATAGAGAGTGTCAGTCAGAACCTCATATTTAAATGGGTCAATGGTGGGGCGGCACGATGGTGCAGTGGTTAGCACTGTCGCCTCACAGCAAGAAGGTTGTGGGTTCAAACCCCAGGCCTTTCTGTGTGGTTTGCATGTTCTCCAGTGTCTTGCTCAGGGACAGTGGGGGATTGAACCTGGGTCTCTCACACTAAGGGCATGTATCTTATCCACTGCTCCATCAACACCCCATGCAAGTCAAATTTTAAAGCTTTGTGTCCCAGTCCTTTTAATATATCTAATTTGAAAACATAAAGATTACAATTTGTATAGAAGAACATTATAAATAAATCAGCTGAAACACCTGAACACCACATGTTGAGAGTGTGTGAAAACGAGTTAGGAAGTGAGCAGAGAAGTTAAAACAGCTAAAATTGATGAGTACATGGTTAAAGTAGATAGCAAAACACAATGGATATGTGGCTTATAGTAAGCCAAAATGAATGGATAAACTGTTTAAATAGCTAAAGTAAGCAATACACACTTAAAATATAGTTGGCTAAAGGTAACAGATTAATGGTTAGCTTAAAGTAATGGATACACTGTGGAAATATTTACCTAAAAATAACGGATAAACACGTGAAATGCAGTTATTTAAAATAAATGGATTAACTGTTAATAGTTAGCTAAAATGATAAAGTTGGAATAGTCAGCTAAAATTAAGAGATAAACTCTTGAAATAGTTGGATAAAAGTAATGGATAACTGGTTAGAACAATTAGCTAAAAGTATGGATAAACTATTGAAGCTAGGTAAAAGTTATGGAGAAATTATTTAAATAAATGGCGTGATTTACTTGAGTTCATCTGATACAGAGGGGGTACGACAAAAAAAGTTGGGAAGCAATGCTCTGCGACACATCATATAAATAAATACAGTAGGTTACAAACAGTGTATATTACAGTGAAAAACAGCTACTTTTTCCACAGGACCTCTATAATTGCACAAGTTGTAGTTGATTTGCTGCAAAAACTCTTGTTACTGTTGTCAGTAATTCTATATCAGCTCAGTGTGCTTGCATGCAAACCATACAGCTACATAGACACACACGGAGGACTTACCATTGTTAGAGCGCAGTGCCCTGGCGGAGATGCCGTTGGTCCCTATGGGATGATGAATCCCGGTTCCATCCACCATTCCTGCCTCCCCTGGCTGCTTCATGAGCTCTGTCAGAGTCCTGAAGGGAGGAAGAAAAACACAAATGGAATGTATTAACTTTAGCATCCTGCATACAAACTGAAAAGTAGACAAAACCCTAAACAGAATTTCTTACAAACTTGACCCCAGCATTCAGAAGTGTTGACAGAAAAGAGAAAGCGTGCGTTTCCAGGTAAATGAGAAACTTTGAGGAACAAAGAAGACTGAAGTGTCAAATGTCATGGGAAAGAGTGAGAAAGATGATAATAAATGTTCATGTGGACATAATCTGGAAATCCGCAATTAAAAATATCCAAAAAGCCTTAATCTTAATAGCTCTAACTGAGGATAAGAGAAGTTTGAAACAGATTGTTCACGTCCATAAAAACAAATCCAAACAGAAAACGCTCAGAATTAAACTCAAGACAGTGGAACCGAAGATGAAAAGGATGAGTCTCTGGATGTTTTCCAACTGGGAGCATCAATCATTTATATAAAAAAAAATTTAAAACAACTTCCCCTCTTGCCATCTTTTATTGTTTGATGCCTTTGAACAAGTTCTGATGCCTCCTCAAAACTGGAACACAGGAAGGAAAAGGCCCTCAAACATGCAGCTTTAACTCTTTAGGAGCATACACAACCTGGAGCTGTAAACAAGGACCTGGACGGTGTTTTGTGTCAGATAGCTGGTAGTTGGTTGATTTTATTCTACTTAGTGTGAGTATATCAAGTGAGCAGGGAGGATTACACAGATAACTACAAGAAACTGTTAAAACAGTTACCTAAAATATTGCATAAACTGTTGACATAGAAACCTAATAAATAAATGGTTAAAATAGTTAGCTTAATGGATAAATGGTTACATTAGGTAGCTAGAGCTAAAGGATAAACAACTTAAAGTAGTGGATACATGGTTAAAATAAACAGAGCTAAAGGACAAACAGTTAGCTTAAAGTAATGGATAAATTACAGCGTTGATGAACGGGTACTTGACTTCATCTGACAGGGCTGTGGGGCGTAAGATGAACCACTAATCTAGTTGTGTGTGCTCAAACCTCAAACCTAAAGGATAGCATGTCATGTTGCACAAGACTTCCTGATTAACATCAGACAGCATAACAAGTAGCTCGAAAAGAAAGCAGGGACACTTTCACCTGAGGGCCTTTTCTCAACTGTTAAATGGTTTGTTTGAGGGATCTGCCAATCTTTGACAATTTTATGTGTTATCTTATGTTGGAATGACTAATTTATTTGATGGATGACCGTTCACTGTTGAAATTCATCATTTTGCTGTCTTTTAGCTCAAGAGGATGCATTCTCTTTTCTATTTTGTGCAAGACGAGAGAAAAATTATGTTTTTTAAGCGGTGGTTTCACTGAAATAAAATTATTTGTCAAAGTGTGTCTCATACAGAGCTGCATCACTGTCATACGTGTGATTGCAGTTTAATTGCTACAGTAAAGTCAGCTACCAAATTTACTTCTTCTTTACTATTTGTTTTTAACAAGGTAAAGGAAAAAAAACAGAACTTAAAATAACAAATCCTGCTGCACATAGATCTGCTCATATGAAAAGTTTTAGTTTATTTCCACAGACATCAAATACTTATAAACCTTCCAGTATTTGCTCACAACGACAAGGACAAAAAAGCAGAGAATGCTTACCATCAACGTGTCGCCATTGACAAGGAAATTATAGCAACATAGTCAACAAATCAGCTGTGACCCGGGGGCTGCTATCAAGAGACCCATAAATATTTCCTCACTGTTAATCTCACTGTTGAAACCTTTCACACAGCCTTCTAAAATGCAATGGAGCACTAGCCTTTTCATTAGCCTGCTGTGAAATGATTGCCTGTGGTCACGGGAGCAGTAAGCATAAAAACATGAACACCTGTACAATATAATTCAACACAGTGGACTTGCAATAGGCACCAAGTATTATGTACCATTGTGAAAATTATATTTATAATTAAATTATAATTTTTTTGAAATTTTGTATTATTTTTTCCCAAATCAAGTAACAAAATAGCATGTTTGGTTTGTGGACTGCCGTTTTGAAGTCTTGAGTTTGGCCGATAGGGTGCCGTGATGTTGAGTTTTTGCAACCAGCGGCACCGGACATGACCACATTTGGACGAGATGGTGGAGCAAACGGCCGTGTGCGGAGCTAGCAAGCTTGCTAAGCTAGGTGCATCTGTAATTCAAGTTAACTGTCATTTTAACGGGGCTGCCAATTTTGTCTACACTGAAAAAACGACTTTGTGGTATGGTAAAATATATTAAATTACCTGTCATAATTTTTCTACATTATAAAATTAAGTTTCAGTGAGATCTACAATTTCTTAAGTAAACATTTAAATATTTACACATTTTATTCATGTAATACACTAACTATGTGAAAGGAGTAGGTTTTACTATAGATTTACACATACTATTTAAAAGCTTAATAGTCGCTGAATAAATACCTAAAAATACTAAGTAAATTGTAATCCAAGTGTGTGTTTACATTTGATTCTACGCATGCGCTTTTGGACAAGACAAGATACCCCCATTTTAGTGGTAATGGACCATGGCAGGGCAACGATATCTGTTTCTGTTTAAGACAGAGGTGCTGCATGACGGTGTTTTCTCGGGGGTAAGTAATCGTCTTTCTGTTTTACCTTTGTGATATCATTGCCACTATCTCAAGAGCTGCCTGGCTTAGAAAACCCCTGCCACATTAATGTTATAACGTTACCAGGACTAGAAAAAAACAATGTCCATGTGTAACTATGCTCAAAAGCTCATTTGTTTATTTAATTTCTATAATATAGAAATATATTATATATAATATTATAATATAAGGTATAGAGTTGCCAAAGAGTGGGTAAGTGGAAAGAATAGCAGAAGGGGAGATGTGTTTTACGTAAGCTGTGCTCTGCGGTAATGTTACTAATAAAAAAGTTAGCTAGCTAGCTATGGTGGTGACAGTGTCACAGAACATGAGGGTCCTAGAAATGTGGTTTGAGTCCTAGGAGACAGTCCTGAAAATGCAGCTTACGGTATTGCTGTTAAGGTTACATGCTGACTAACCTGATTTTATTACAATTTCAGGTCAGTCAGGTTAACATTTAGAATAATTCAACTGGTGTTAGCGAAGCTCATGCTGCCTGTTTCACTGGGGAAGTTATTAATGTAACATTACCAAATTAACTTAATACATGCTGGCTAGGCTGGTGTGTAACATTATACAGTAAACGACAGTGTTGTATTTTAACACAAGTGACCACTTCATCTAGCCTATAAAAAGGTCTAAAGTTGTAAATACAGTAATAGTGTGGTGTAAAAATATTTTAGTCAGTTTCCAGCTGTTGTTTTGACACATTTAATGTTATATGTATGTTACCAAGCACTCTGGTCTGCAAAATGCCTGTTTAAAAAAACATTATATATGTATAAGAATGTAAAGTATAAGAATATGTAAAATATTCATGTTTTGTTGTATTGATACCAATACCAATTTGAACAGGGAATAGTTACAGCTTCAAGTTATGATTCCATTGTGTTGTAACTTAAAAATGCAAGCTGGTTGCGTTGTTGGGTTGTGAGAAATGTGGAAAGGGATAATGGCAGATGTTCTGTCGTAATCAGGCCAAATATATTATCAGCAATTTTTTATCTTTCTGGGCCACTTGTACAAAAGGTCATGAGCTTTTGAGATATCCATCGGAGACAGAAACAAGCAAATTAACTGTGTAGAAACATCTATATTAGGTACAATTACATTTCTACAAGACACCAAAGAAATGCTCATTGATGCTGGTGAGAGGGAAGAGTGGCGTTGATGTGTTTGTCTCTAAAGAGCATGTAGACTGCACGTACAGCACAAAATCTGAAATGAAATTGGTATTTCTTTCCTCTCCTTTAACACTTCTCTCACATGTGGTGCCATTCAGCAATCTTCAGCTGCTCCAGCGGAGCAGCACAGCGTCAAGCAATTGTCTGTGGTTGCACTGGGCAGCTCCCTGGTGTGAATGGAAAAAGGGGTGTAGTGGAAAAACACCTGGCTCAGCAATATTTGACCCCTCTCATCTGGCAAATAATGTGTAAACAGGTACATGCTCAGTAATAGAATTTATTCTTAAAACCACAAAATCTGAGCTTTGACAGATATGGTCAAAATAAGTTCCATTGGGAAATTAGTGCATTGACAGGCATCCGAGGGCAATAAATACCCATAAAATTGGATAGTATAGGCAGTATATGTGCCACAGGAACACCCACACCTGTAATGTGTATCTCAATTGCCCTTTACCATAAGGGGAGATCGTACGGGTACATGGAGGGGGCAGACCCAGAACCCCGGTTGGGGGGCCCCCCTACGTGGGCCACAAAGTTTGTATTAGTTGACTGTAACCACAGCTGGATGAGTAAGCTGTATGTTATGCAGTTCGCTTCCAACAACAACAAAGGAACAATCAGCTATTCATTTCAAATTAAACAGTCCCTTCAATCCTGGTTTCAATATTAAACCACCACAAGAATGATAATTAACAACAAAAACACTATATTCTAAGAAGACACGTCTAAAAAAACATAAATCATAAAGTAAACTTTGGATTTTAAACAAATGGGAAACTTCTTAGCAAATTTTAACAAAACTCCCTTCACCGTGATGCATCATGGGAGTTCTGAGGGACGGATGTAGGCTACTATGTATCACCCTGGAGCCACACAGGCTGCTTGCGCTCCGCGGTTTAGTTCCATCCTCAGCCCGGTGACAATTTTCACTGGAAGCCGAAGAGTTTCAGCAGCACAGTGTGTAGCCTGCCCCAAATTAATGATTAATCATTAATGCCCGACTTCATTCCATCATTGGCACGGGTGCATATTCCACAGGGAGCATTTCAGAATGAAAGCGTTTTACCCGCCTGAATTTGCTGACATGTTTCGATTCTGTTGGCCAGTGCTTGTTTTTTGTGCTTCTACTATGATTAATTAGGCGACGGAGTTAAATTATTTATTTTTTGTCTGTCTTATTATTCACTGTCTGTGTTTA